GCAGTATGCTCAGGGTTAGGGTTAAAGGAGAACTATGAGGTGAGTGATTTTCACTCAATCTCATAGCTCGAGCCGACGTGTGACAATTAAAATGTCACACGTCGGCTCAATAGATCGGGAAGTGAGCGAACACATACCGTCGCTCGCTCACTTCTTGATCATGTCCCTGCAGAGAGCCGTGACTGTCACTTATGGCTCCCTGCAGGGATTCCCCCCTCCCCACTCCGATCCTCCAGCGCTGGCTGGCGGAACGGACGGGGGAGGGGGCGGGTACAGCTGGCTCTGCCTCTAGATAGGCAGAGCCAGCTGTCAATCACGCAGCTGGCTGGATCTCGACAGTAATGTCGGGATCCGTCCCGGCTGTGGCGGTCTCAGTATACCGTGAGCTGTAGCTCGCGGTATAGGTGCAATACTTTGCCCAATCAGAGCACAGTACTCTGTAAGAGCCATGGTTGGGCAAAGTAATGATGACTTTGCCCAATCATGGCTCACCTGTTAGATGCCGTACAACTGTAAACTGTTGGTAGAGCTAGCTGTCACTGCTAGCTCCGCCCAATTGTTTATATTTTGCTGGCATCTGTCAGAATGCCATTCTGCAGTGGAAGTTCGTTGCGAGCGTGCGGGTCGGAGGGCAACGTTTGTAAAAAAAATTAAATTTATTTTTTCTTTCTGTTTTATTTTTTATTTAGCAGCGGCGTGGATAACGCTGGACGTCGTGATTGACCCTGGATTACGATTGACCCTGGATTACGTTTTTTTTTTTTAAAGTAAAAGACTTGTCAAAAACTTGTCTTTTGTTTTTGTTTTTTTCAATTTAACACTTTAGGGGTACCCCTTACTCATTCCCATGGGGGGGGTGCATCTGGATGCCCGTTATCCTGATGTGGATAAGCCCCCTGCCCACACCCCCACAACCAATGCCCCAGGGGTGATCCTGGAAAAGCACTCTGCCAGTGCAGAGGGCATGTTTCCTGGTGTTGCAGGGGGGGGGGGTGCTCGCTCACCCACCCCCCTTTCCTGCCCTGCCAGGCCTGTGCTCAGATCAAGGGTATGGTTGGGAATTTTAGAGGGGACCCCACATTTCCCCCCCCCCCATTTTTAGGGGTGGGGTTCCTCCTTAGAATTCCTACCAGACCTTAAGGGCATGGTAAGAGTTTGAGGGGGAACCCCAACGCAGTTTTTTTTTTAAATTGTAACTCTGGGTCCCTCCTAAAATTCCTACCAGATCTAAAGGGTCTGTTATGACTTTTGGGGGGAACCTAAACCTAAAGGGTCTGGTATTGTTTGAGAGGGGGAACCGCACGCTTTTTTTTTTCTCTTTTTATATGTAATTTTTGCTGCAGCAGGTTCTATACATTGTACAGATGTACCAGGCAGTTTAAAAGAGAACTATGGGGTAAGTGTTTTTCCCCATAGCTCTCTTAAGGGTCACAGGAAGACATATACTGGCATCCTCCCATGACCCAAAGCTCAGTATATCGCTAGCTGTCGAGATCCACTCAGCTGCGTGAATGACAGCTGGCTCTACCTATCTAGAGGCAGAGCCAGAGGCACCTTCCCCGTCCATTCCTCCAGTCAGCGCTGGAGAAACGGAGAGGGGAGGGGGCCGACATGTGACAGTTTTATTGTCACACATCGGCTCGAACTATGAGGATGAGTGAACCCCCAGGCATGATATTTAAAGGAATTTTTCATATCTATTGTTTCACTTTAAGTGATGTTAAAATCACTGCTCCTTTAAAATTTATATTTTCATTAATACATGTCCCCCAGGGCAGTACCCGAATCCCCATACACATTTTATGGCCAATAACTTGCATAAAAGCCTTCAAAATGGGGTCAATTGATTTTCAAAGTTCTGGCCCCATGAATTTGCATTGAGTTCGAGTTTGAATTCGAACTTTTCCCATGTTCGAAAGTTTGAATTCGAACCGAAAATTTAGATGTTCGGCCCATCACTAATCTCTGGCATACTGAAACAGGTTTCCCTCAAGAACTTCTCTGTATTTAGCGCCATCTATCATTCCTTCAACTCTGATCAGATTGCCAGTTCCTGCCGATGAAAAACAACCCCACAGCATGTTGCTGCCACCACCATGCTTCACTGTGGGGACTGTGTTCTTGGAGTAATGAGAGGTCTTGGGTTTGTGCCAGACAAAGCAATTTCCTTGAAGGCCAAAAACCTCAATTTTAGTCTCATCTGACCAGAGTACCTTCTTCCATTTGTATTGGGAGTCTCCCACATGCCCCTTGGCAAACAGCAAACTTATTTGCTTATTTTTTTCTGGAAACAACAGCTTTTTTTCTGGCCCCTCTTCCATATAGGCCAGCTCTGTGGAGTGTACGGCTTAAGGTGGTCCTATGGACAGATACTTCAAACTCTGCTGTGGAGATTTGCAGTTCCCTCAGGGTTATCTTTGATCTCTTTGTCGTCTCTCTGATTAATGCCCTCCTTGCCTGGTCTGTGAGTTATGGTGGGCTCCCCTCTCTTGACAGGTTTGTTATGGTGCCATATTCTTTTCATTTTTTAATAATGGATTTAAAGGTGTTCCTGATCTGTACTTCTCCACAGCTTTGTCCCTGACCTGTTTGGAGAGCTCCTTGGTCTTCATGATGCTGCTTGCTTGGTGGTGCCCCTTGCTTCTTAAAAATGCATTCTGGTACCTTAACTATTAACAAAAATGTACGTTATTTGTGTATTACTCGGCTGTAGATCCTCAAATCATCTCTGAATTGGTGCTGACACTGTCCTTCCTTCTGGAGGGTAGTTACTTTTGTTCTCGATGGTCCTTGTGTGTTGTAAAGTATTCACCGCTCCAAGATTACCCTCGTGATGGACTACAATGTCATGTTTAGTTTGCTAATTAGTAATTTGTATTGAGATTGTAGTCCATCACGGGAGGGAGTTTGGAGTGGTACAAAAGTAGCCACTCTCCAGAGAGAAAGGACAGTTTTAAGCTGGCCATACACCTTACAACCATCGCACGACTTTCAATGTGCGATGGTTGTAAGATCATTAAAATTTTGTACGACCTGCCCATCTTGGACAGGCAGATCGTACTTGCGATCATCGCTTGCCGATGATTGCAATGCTGAGCGGGCAGTGTGCGCACACCGGCCCGTGCGTCTTTCGTCTTCCGAGCACGCTACCAACCCGACCGAAAATCGAAAGTTGTGCGACCGTGTGCTGCCCATACACCTGCCGATTATCGTACGATCGCTGGATCACAAATAGCATACATTTTTGTTAATAGCTAAGGTAATTGAATGTATTTTTAAGATTCAACACCTGGGTTTAGTGTCACTTTAAATATTTTACACCGGTCAGGCTTTCTAGATCAGCTATTTTAATTCCTTTAGCACTCTACAATTACATATTTTGTGTGATATTAGGAACTTATCATATGATGCCATGAGAGAGACAGAGAGAGAGAGAGAGAGAGAGAGCGAGGAACA